TCCCTACAGTTTAGGACAGCTGTAGGATGGTCACTTTTGTCCCATGTGATGCTAAAGGGTTTCATTTGGTCTTAGAGTTCATCATCGTCCACCTTGCACTCTCTTTGTTACTTTTTTTTCGCCCTCCCCTTAATTTTATTTTGCTTATGTCAATTCTCAAGTCAATATATATTTTTGTTAACAAACATATAATAGTTCTGAGTTAAGTCATCTTTTGTTTCTGAATTTAATATACAGCAAAGTAGCTTGATTTTCCCCAATTATGTGTTGTGATTACTATTCGTTCTGATTGTCTATGTTAGCATTCAATAAGGAAGCGGCTAAAGCTCAATCCCACCCACCATATAAAGTAGAATTTGTTAGAAGAATATCCATTCAGAAGTGGAATGAATTATAATCTATGAGGAAAGCTAGCTACCATAAAGTGAGCGTATCTTTAAAATCTGTAACTAATAGTGTATTTATGATTAAATTTAGGAAATTCAAATCATTGTATAGTTAAATTAAAAAGAGCTGAAAAACCTTTATTCTTACTTTAGAAATAGGTTTGAGTTTGGAAGGGTCTTATCATAAACCATGAGCTCCATGACCTTACCTGTCCCCCAAGTTCCATTCGTACATTATTATCGATGGTCTCACTTGTTGGCCTTCCCTGTCTCTCTTTTTTGGTTTCAGAGATCTTGTGTACTAAATCAACCCCTAATGTCCACATTTAAGCATCAGCATATCAAATACGAGCAACCGAATCCACATCTTATTAGTCAAGACACTGTACAATTATAAGTTTGCTCCCCGCGTATAGGCACATCCATACCAAGCTAGATAACTCAACAAATATGAACAAACAAATAGATCTGTGCCAAAAACAACCATTGCTTGTTGAAACTAGTGGGATTACAATGTTTGAACATTAAAGTAAATCGCATAACCAATGTAAAATGAATACAACAGCTAGTTGCTTAGTTCTCTATTATAGGCATGAAGATGATAATTAATATATTCTTTTTGTAGCTTCTTCCATCCATGTAATTAACCATTTTGTCGTTTGCTATCAATGGAAATGCTTTAGATCACTGTAAGCACAGCGATGGCTTTGATCCCGTGGTGATTTCAATTATCCCCTTTGTTTTCTCTGGTTAAGTAGGATTTTTAAATTTTAAAGGTTGAAAAATGGAAAAACTACTTGGACTTTACTTGCTATAATTCCATGAAGTCTTCAATCTTCAAAGTTTTGTTTCTAAACAGTTGTATAAAGCAATTTCTTAATCGGATAATCAGAAAACCCTGCCAATTTGGGAATTTATTAAGCCCCAATAGGGATGAGCAGAAGAACACAGTGAATCTTTTTATCAAAGAAAGACTAGATGTTATGGCCATAATATATTTCTTAATAAGCCTAACAGGCTAAACAACTAACTAGTTAATGTTAGAATCGAATTAAACTAAATGACACAGGATCCAAAATCTGGGATGCCATTAAAACTTGTGGAATACCATCCATCTTTTACAGTTTTTGACTGCCAGATAAGATCACACTGCTGGTCTCACCAAAATAAATAGTGAATTGTCATCATCAGGTTGCAAGCATGTTCCTCAATTAGCTTATACTGCAGGCACATGGATATATCCATTTAACAATTTAAGTTTCAACCCCTCTTTGATAAATATACTAATTGAAAATATTTAATGAAACATTTTTCTTGAACAAAGAAAATCAGGGAGAAAAAATGTGACCTATTTTATTAGGACTATTTTATACGGGTTGAGAAGTAGTAGGAGGTTACATTTGTGAGAGAGAAAGTTGCATTAGGGGGCTAAAGTCCTTAATATTTATGGAGGGGCCATGTTAGGAATTAGAGGGTAAGAAAAGAATTGATGGAAGTATGATAGCACACGTGAATAAAATAGCAGGGGAGGAGCGTCTTCACGTGTGAAAGGCTGGACCACTTCCAGTCTGTGGTAGCATTTGCATCAAAGATTTTATAAAAGGAAGGCAGAGGGAGGAAGAAGACGCTCCTTGTCTATCCTAAGTTGCCACCCACTCACAATAGAATACTGTTACATGAGACAAGTACGTGGCATATGATATAATTAATTACACAACATACTTATAAATAAATACTATAATGATTGTATTATTTTTTAGTTTTGCTTATCTTAAGCTTAGGTAATAGTGATGGGAAGACTAAGTAGAACCTTTGACTCTGAAACATCCACAAGCCCAAGATGGTCAACAAGTTTGACTGCTTATGATACTCTCTTATCTTGCTTACAGGTGCAGAATGGGGTGGGGAAAATCATGGTTCCAAGACCCTGCTTTGCTTTTATGTGTCACTGACCTGCACACACTCGCACAAACAATAAAGACAAGGCTAGGATCATTTTGTAGCATGTATCATATCATGAGTGCGTGAGAAATGAGAATTTTTTCTATGGAAAATAAAATAAGTGCGGTCGAAATTGTTGAGTTTGGTTTGTGAGATATATGTATTGCCTTCAGCAAATTAATTGAATGTTGTTTGGCCAACCATTCATCAATTCCCCCCTTTCGCCAAGCTATTCAGTGTTGGTTTTCATCATTTCACACCCACCACCATTATTCCTTTTCCATTTTCGTGTATTGTTGTTACTTACTACTGTTGCATTATCGAATACAAATTGAATGACTATGGATGATGGATGGTTACTATTTTTGTGACCTCCTACGATTGATGATGGATGGTTACTATTTTTGTGACCTCATTAATTTGTCAATATCGCATGACCAGAAAAATGTCTACAATATATAAGTCTTGTACGATATTTTTTTTAAGCTTCCCACACCTCTTCCCCTTTCTTTGTTACTATTTTATTTTATGAATATATTTCAATCTTATTTTTATTTTTTGGTGTGTACAATAGCACGCTAACAAAATTTAAATTTACAGAAGAATCAGCGGAAATTTTAATGAGTTATTCTCACGGAGTTCTGCTTAAAAGTTCACAATTTTATCTACATATTTATTTTTACATATAATTATTCTGATTAATTAACAATGAGTAAAATTAGTAAAATTTTCAAGTTAAGTTTAAATGAAAAATAATATTTGACAAAATTAATAAATATTTTACGTTAATATCATGATGACAAAATCTTTAGTTAATTATAAGGATCTTTTATTGAGGACAATTTTATTTGGATATATGATCATTATGGTCAACAAAGTTCTCATTCGAGTATTTAATAGTTATATATTTATACTCAATACTCAGGAATACTAAATAAATTGAAATAATCTATTATTCTTGATCCACATGTTTTTCCATTTCAAGTACACTTATTGATAATTTTATATGCTTTTCAACTTATATTTTTCACATTACAAATTAAATATAAATAATGATAAAAATTTCATTATATATATATATATATATATATATATATATATATGTTAGGAAATTGAAAATAAGGTGTTAGAAACTGTCATAAAATGTTAAATAATAAGTATGATAACTTAGTATTTTTTATGGTTTTTTTTTTCTTTCAATTTATTCATTATGAAATATTTAAAAGAAGTACAATAGTGAGTAAAGGAATGATTTCATTCATAATAATAAATATAAATAGAAAATATAAAATAAATTTTAATTACAGAAACTTAAGATGAAATATCTCCTTTTTTGTCTAAATAAAAGATAATTATCGCTCCTTAAAAAAATTAAAAAAAAAGTTATTGCTTCAAATAAACATGCTTAGTTATAAGGAAAAAATAATGTTTAAAAGTACTTTAGTTCGAATGAAGGATGAAAGAGATTTTAATGAAAGAGAGAGGACATACATTAAAAATTTGGTAAATAATCAAAATAAAATAGTAAGGTGAGATAGGAATTTTAGTGGAGAGAAAAGGAGACTAACTTTTTTTTGTTGTTGTTTGGCTTACGAGGAAAATGGAAATATTTTAAAAATTAATTTATTTTTATACATTTATATTTTTAATTTAAAAATATAAGTAAAGATATTTTAAACAAATATTTAAAAAAATTTAAATTTTTCTCTTCCCCTCCAAATCCTCATTTGAAAAGGAACTAAAATTAAATGAGGGTCTCTTCCTTTCCTAAAAACTAAATCAAACAAAAAATATTTTAAAAGCTCTTCTCTTCCTTTTTATTTATCTATGAACAAACACTATATAAATAAATGAAAGAGTTGATTGCACTTTTAATTTTATAATTTCTATTTTGCGATTTAGATTTTTTACACCAAATTTTTTTTTTATATTTTTAATTGTGAAAATTTAATTCCAATTTTGAAATTATATATATATATATAATAAAAAATTTGGTGCGTTTACCTTCTTCTTCTTCTCCTACTACTAATAGTAATTAAGTAATTTTAGTTTATTTATTAGTTAATCATCTATTAATTGTTAGTAAATTTTAACATGACAAATAAATTTATGACTTAATTACAATTTTTTTCTTCTTATAACCGTTATTCTAGTTCTTTTCTAATTGTAAAATTTTACTCCCCAAAATTTAAAATTAAGAAACTTGTAACCCTTTTCTTTTTCTTTAAAACCCGAACCTACAAAGTTGTTTGGCCTATTTAATTTATAATATAAATGTTCATTATTATATTAATTAATTATATTTTTAATTCACACAGTTGTATGAATTTAATTTTTTTAATATTCAATTTTTATTATTTAATTTTAAGTTAAAATATTATAATATTAAAATAAATAATATAGTATTAGTGTTGTGGTAGAAAAGGAATATATGTAAATATGGGGAAAATAGGATAAAACACATAGGAAAATATATAAGTAATTGTGTGTTTTATATTTATTGTATCAAACATCCACGACAAATATCACTTTGAAATTTTAAGTGAATTGAATTAAATTCAAATACGAGATATCTCATAATAATTCATGACTAAATTATTTTAAATTTTTAAAAATCTCATAATGTCCTTAAATTCAATATTAATTACTCAATTTTGAAGATTTATTTATAAAAAAAATTAAATCATTTTGACTTGAAATTGAACCCTATTATAGTTATAATATAGTCATAATACACAGGCACTCTTCTCAAAATTTTCTGAAGCTTTTTATTTTGAAAAGTTAATTTTGCGTCTAAAGTTATTTAAATTAATTATAATTTGCTAATCGAGTTTAACTGTTAATTGACTGAGGTCTGTGATCGAGTGACCATATAGGTAACCATATACATATTTTCATTTTTCAAGTTTTAAGCCACCCAAGGACTCAAATTTATTAAGAAGAACAACCATCAAACACTCTCCTTATCCTTGTAGAACTCTTGAAATACCAGCCAAATTTGCACAAAACCAGCTCATTGGACAACCCAAAACAGAGAGGACAAAATGAAAAATGGAATGAGAAACATTAACTTAAATTAATTATGAACATTTTTTTATAACGTTAAACATTTTTTTTCTCCTTTAGATCTATATTTAAAATATTTTTTTATTAAATTTGAAACGTACCAACATAATGTATAAAATAATTTTAAATTTATTGATGGTATTTTTGGCAAATTGATACCCAAGATACTTGGCCCGACTTGACATGTGACATACCTAACGTGGGCCGACCCATAACTAGGCCTGAAGTGTTGAAATTAGCGTACTTGGCTTCGTTATTAATTTTTATTTTCAACTTTAACTATATTATTTTAAAACAAATATTTGACTATTTTAAGTAATTTTTTTTCAAATACTTTAATATAATTTAGTTTGAAATTCAGTCACAAATTAATTATTATTTAAAATTGTAATTACCTAAAGAAGAAAAGGAAAAAAAAAAAAAAACTAATGAATTAGCCGAAAGCCTACAGTTTGCAATTCTCCATAAGACTAGGAAAAGAAAAAAATGATTAATTTCTATAATCACCAGGTATGTTTTAATATAAACTTTACAGTTGAAATAAATGTTAGAGTTATTATATACTTCAATAGCATTCAATGACTTGAAATTAGTTTTTATTATACTTTTTTTGTCAAGATTTAAAATAAACAGATATTATAGAGTTGTTACAACCTTTTGCGCAATTCACAGAGAGTAAACTCGAATGATTAGCTTGAGTAGAATTGGCATTTTCTTTTTTTACAATAACAATAAGGTTAGACGAGGGGATTTCGCATAATTAGGTGAATTACAGTGGTTTACATATAATTTATTAGTGTATATTATGGAGTGAGGAATGGGGTGTGACATAGGTGAAGAGTTTTTAGGTAATGTAAAATAAAGAGAGAGATGTCCACAATTTGTGTTGTGGTATTTTTAGGTAGGAACAAGAGTGACAGATGGAGTGGGTGAGTTTTTTTAGCTTGTTTGTTTCCTTTTTCACGGAAATGTCTAGAGCATCACACACAGGCTCTGATTATTCATCCTCGTCGCTCTCTCCCTTTCTTCTCTGCATCACCGCCCTTTCACATTTCTCAATCCCCCACGGTGGTGTTATTGAGAAAGGAGAGTTCGACCTCAACCACTAGCCACTGCAAACTTCATACACCAGGTAACCTCATCCACTTTCTTTCTTTATTTATTTCCATCGCCATCAATGTTTTTATCTGCACCGCTACCGCTTTTATTTTCATTTCAGATCGTGCTTGCCAATTTTAATTTATTCCTTTTCACTTTTCACGATTGCAAAAATTGATTGCGACATAAATATCTACCTGGTCAATTTGTCAATTTCGGCGTAGATAAATCATTTAGATCCCCTGGCATGCCCAGAAATTTCGTTTGGTTCATGGCGAATTTCGCTTGTTTAAAACGTTAATCAATCGCAACCGCGATTTATTATTGGGAGCGTGAGCTGAAGGACGTTGTTGTCGTGATTCCTAATCGTAATCGCAATTTGACGAGTTGCGCCATGGCAAATTGTGTTATGATAATTGAGATCATGCAATTTGCAATCAAAATCAATCGTTATATGATAGTTTTGTAGGGTTTCGGCAATGATAGGTGTGTTTAAAAACTGGAAGATTCAGGTGTTTGATATGACGTTTTGGATGTTTAGGTTACAAGTACAGATTCATTGAACCTTTCTGGTATTTTTATTTCTGGGTTAGATGATTGGCTTAAATAAAATCTCTCTACAACAATCAATAATGACCGTTGGTTCTTAATAGTTTAGGTATGTGTAATTTTCTTTTATTATACTTTCCAGAAGAGAATGAATGCTCTTGAACGTCGTAATGGGCTTCTTGATGCTTAGATTTACCTGTTTGTGTGTTTTGGGCCTTAGGCTCGTTGAGAATTTTCCTCAATGTCTTTTAAAAGGTAAGAAGTTTAAATAGCAATTTGAGAGTACCAATAGCAATCTCCTGAGATCTACAGGGCTTTATACAAAGATATGTGTGTTTCACCGTGTTAGCAAGGAAGATCCGACACAAAAATGGATTGGCAGATAGCTGCTTGTGTTATGCAACTTTGATGTCTAGTGTTTGAATATTGACTTTGGATATTGAATGAATAGATTATATTGAGAGTAAAATATGCACTTTGTGTGTGTTTATGGTATTCAGTGGAGATTAAATACTTCATATTAATATTATGATTATTTTAAAAAAAAATGTTTTCATATGACATTTAAAATGTTGAAGTTAGAAATTTAAATTCGATGAAGCTTCGCATTTTATTTTTCTTTGTCATTAATTTCTAGGATAGTGGATTGACAAAATATCTCCTACCTAATTTATTAAAATTAGGAAAACTAGTTAATATAGATAATAACAATAAATTTGTCCTACTTTTATAATTTTTTTTAAAAACTAGTATGTTTATACTATTTATCTCTTCTAATTAATATTGGTGTGTGTTTTATATTATTCTCTCTCCAAAATTTATTCAATTATCTTTTTTAACTATTTAAGAGTATATGTCTTTTAAAGAGTTAAAGAGTTTATAATTAATACATTTCATCCAATTAAGAGAACATATTTTAATTAAAGATATTTTAGTTTAAAAATAATTAATATATAAAATAATATAGATCGAGTCTTATATAAAGAAAAAAATAATTATTCTAAATTAAATTTTAAGAATCGGAACAAAGGAGTATTTTTTTTATGTTAAAAAACCCTCGGTTCTTAACAATTTAGATACATGTAAACTTTTTATAATTTCCAAAATCAATTAATACTTATACTGTATGGGGTTGAGGTCGCTCCTTTCCCCCTTTATCACCATGTCTTTTAGGTCTATCCCCCTATTCACACGTTGAAAGCTAATGTGACGGGCTTTTGTTTTGCCCAAATGTAATATGCATTTTAGTGCTTGATATTTTTTTTGGGCCTAAGGCCACGATAAAAATCGGAAAAAAAAACATAACCACACAAGTTGTTTTAGAAAAAGAAAAGGAAAAAGGGAATTCGAAAATCATCTCATTTCAAGAACCTTTTTTGTATTAAACATGTAGCTTAAATTTTCATCAATTTAACATGTGGATTAATTTTTAATCAATTGCGTATAAATTTACAATTAGATAGATCAATTTAATTTTTTAATAATAATAGTAACAGTCACGATGATAATATTAAACACTATATAACAACAAAGTTTAGTAGACATACGTTTTCAATGTAAATGTTACTGTTAAATAATTAGAAATCATATTTATTATCACGTTTAAGGTAGTTAATATTAAAAATGATAATTAGATGATTGTCTAAAAAATGTTTACATATCCATAATAATACTACATCAATAATTTTATATTTTTTATTATGATATTTTTTTGAGTTAAATATATTTTTAATTCTTGTAAATCGAATAATGTTCTTTTTTAGTAACGTCTTTATATATAGTCCTTAATTCCGTAAAAGAAATAAATTATGTGCTTGTAATGTAAAAAAATGTTTACACCGTTCTTATTTGTCGACTCTGAACTTTTTAAGTCTCACAATGTATTGAAATTAAACTCTTTTCATAAATATTACTTGATGTGTAAAGTTGTTTTGTGTTTAATTAAATATTTTTTAGTTTGAATCTTGAATATACAATTTTTTTTTAAATAGGTAGAACTTTTGTTATTTCTAAAATCCTATAAATGATACTTATGATATAGAAAAAAGAAAATTCTTTACAAAAATGAATGACTAAAAACTTTTAAAAAAAATAACTTTACCAAAAAAAAAAAATTAATGACTAAAAGGAGAATTTTTTTTTTTTGAAAGGGTACAGGTATAGTTTTTTATATTTTATATTTTTAATAATTTATTTAAATAATATTTATGATATTTAATTTTTTTAATTTTTTAATTAATTAGTCATTTTATTTTTATTTTATATATTCTAATTTATTTGTAATAATATTATTATATATTTAAATAGTTTAATTTTAATAATTTTTTAAGTATATTTTTATCTTTTCACTTAAATTTTTTGAATTTATATATTTTAATTTTAATAATATTATTTTATAAGTATAATTTGGATTATTCATTTTATAATTAAATTAATTTTTTTAAAATTTTTTATGAGTTTACATAGAAAAATATATTGAAATCCCTCGATCTTTGAGAGAATCATAGCAATTCTTTTTATATAAACGAGAACCATATATGACATTTATCCAAACCCACGTGGAATCTACGACATTTTATCCAAACCTACGTGGAATCGCTTATCTTAATTATACAATAAAAGGAAATAGCAGAATTAAATAACGGTTTAAAATTCATGTACATATTAAATCCAAATACATTTGTTATTTGGTTTTGTTCAGCATATCTTGTCTGACGTTGGAATTGGATAAAATCATGATCTAAACCATCAAAATTAAGATCCATATCTTTCTCACATGCCCTTTTTCCGTGACAGTATTCTGCGAAGAACCAGATTTCTCATTATTCATGACTTGGTTTTATATCTGTTTATGCAGCAGAGAAGCATAAAGTGATGGCTAACATGGACAGTAGTTGTTGTAAATCTCTCGAGAATACTAAGAAATTCACTCCGGTACCGCCACTTCTGCCCCATTCAGCATCAACCAGTTGTTCTTGTGAATATGTGGCGCCGAATAATTCAATACCAAGATGGCGCAGCAACAATGTCTCATCAACCGGAACAGATTTGTGGGAGCGTCTTTTTGATCAAGGGTATAAAGCAGATGTTTGCATTAATACTGATAACGGTGGCGTTGTTTATGCTCATTCTAACATTCTTGTAAGTTCATTCATTCTACTTCATTAGGAATTTGCCTTACGGTCGTATCGTATATGACATGGTAAATGATCAAAATCCTATTGAATGTTTTTTTGCAAATATTATTTACACGTTTATAAATTAAACTCGTAATGAATTCCGGGTCTCTGGAATGCAATTGTTGTATGATCTGCATCAATCATCATAATCATAGAATCCCAGTATTCTGTCATCAAATTGTTACAAAAAACGTGAATATTTATGGATTTTTACGTTATCTTTTGTAGATACCACTGATTTCATTCTATATGGACAGGGCATGACTTCTCCCGTATTGAAAGGCATGCTGAAGCAAACAAAACGTCATGGTCGATGGCGAACAATCTCAATCATTGGGGTTCCACATGATGCTGTTCGAGTTTTTATTCGATTCTTGTACACTTCCAGGTACGTTTGATCCCACCTCTATGAACCTCAATTATCAAAATGTGTAGAAATCATTAACTGAATAACAGCACAAATGTTTTGGGGTGGCGCAAGGATTGATAATATTCTCTTGAATTATGTTTCCTCGACTTTAAAATTGTTTGATTGGTCTATATCAAATCATTCTGGTCAATTGCTGGCTAATGTTTGTCGCTCTTAAAATTTTAAAGTAAGTTATACTTAAACTCTTAGAAGTTTTGTGAAATTGTATAAACTCATTACTTTTTCTATCCTTACAATGACCCCCTCTTAATTGTTTGAAAAATATTACGTTAACACTCCTTAAACATTGCATTAACTCTTCTTAATTATTTTTTAAAAAATACATTATTTAAAAATATTACTTTAACCATTAAAATATACAGAATTGTCAGTATAATTTATTCAAAATTTTGCAGTCTAGAATCTAGATTCGTCTTAGTCCTACATTATCTATATTGATATGTATGCATTTGTTCCTAATTTGTTTCATAGTTATGAGAAAGAAGAAATGGATGAATTCGTGCTACATTTGCTGGTGTTGTCACATGTATACGTGGTCCCTCACTTGAAAAGTGAATGTGAACAGAAGCTAGAATTGGGTTTACTCACCATAGATAATTTGGTTGATGTATTTCAACTTGCCTTACTGTGTGATGCTCCAAGGCTCAGCCTCATTTGTCACCGCATGGTGCTAAAAAACTTCAAAGCTGTTTCGGCATCAGAAGGATGGAAGTCAATGAAGCTGAGCCACCCGGTTCTAGAAAAGGAAATTCTGGAGTCAGTGATTGATGAGGAACATGTAAGACACTCTCATTTTCTCTCCATTTTTCATTTTCCTTCCACCATGGAAACTTCATTAGTCCTTTGTCTAATTGATTTTACATGAATTGATTATCCAGATTAAAAAAGAGAGGATTAGAAAAATGAAGGAAAGAGAGATCTATCTACAATTGTACGAGGCCATGGAAGCTCTTGTTCACATTTGTAGAGATGGTTGTCGAACTATTGGTCCTCATGATAAAGACTTCAAAGCAAACCAACCGTGTAAGTATGCTGCATGCAAGGGGCTAGAATTGCTTGTTCGTCATTTTGCTGGGTGCAAGTTGAGGGTCCCTGGAGGTTGTGTTCATTGCAAGAGAATGTGGCAATTATTGGAGCTGCACTCTCGACTATGTGCTGATCCAGATTACTGTAGAGTTCCTTTGTGCAGGTAATTAATAGTGGTTGAGCGATACTCTCTTTTATAATACTTTATCAATTATTGACTGAAATTGTTTAGAAGTAAAAAAATTTGTGAGTCTAACGTCTCATTTTCCATCTAGTTTTGTGATTTCAACTAATAATAAGGAGAGTATTACTTACATTTCTTATAATAGTTTGTATTGTCCAAGTGAGATTTCACTTGATGCATCTCAGTATCCACATGCAATGTAACACACCCTTTTATTTCAGGAACTTTAAGCAGCGAATATCAACACAAAGCAAGAAAGACGAAATTAGATGGAAAATATTGGTTGAGAAGATCTTGAGAACAAGAGGAATTGGGATAGCATCCTGCTTTCTGCCGCAATAATTAATGGTTTGTGGTGGGGATATAGAGTCATGGATCACAACAGTTGATCTAAGACTAAAACCAGGTTTTAATTGTATATTGTACGAAATATGTAATGTTAGTAAGGAGTGGACCTCTAAAGACCAAGTGTTTCTCCTCTATACCTCAATAATTTAAAAAAAAAAAAAAAAAAACTTGCATGTATTAAATTGGCAAACATTATCTCTCAACTTGAGTTTTCTGTATTTACAAGAGTTAAAATTTAAATTCTTATTATTTGGTTAAGTAACGTGAATTCTTTACCGGTCGCACCAACACAAGTTGTTAAATATATATATATGTGTGTATATGTGTGTGTGAAGTAGAAGAATATTTTTTTTAATATTATTTTTTGTTTTATTTCTTTATTCTTTTAACTATGAAAATATTTAAGTTTTTTTGACTAAAGATTTTGTCATTAATTTATGGTTTATATTTATTGATAGATAATGAGAAAGTATACCAAATTATTTTAGTAGTACAAGTGAAAATTGACATCACAAGGAATTGGGATTCAATTATCAATTAATAAATTTATCTTTATTTGAGCTAAACATTCAAAAAAATAAAAATAAAATATGGAATTAATTAAAAGTATGATCTAAAAATCAAATAAAAGCTAAAATAACTAAAGAATTATAAAGAGTGGAAGACTATTAATTCTAATTCTAAGTTTGTAACCATAACTTTGTAAGTAAATACAAAAGAGTGAAAGATTATTATTGTTGTAGTATTTATAATATTTAATTATATTATTTTATAACATATTACATATTAATGTTAATTTAGATTATTTCAATTATTAGTTTAATGGGATAGTCTATAAGCCTATAGGTTAGCCCAATCTAAGTTTATTTTGTTTGTTGGACTAAGCAAATTAAGGTAAAAATGTTTGATTTTATTTAAATCATCATTTTTAATGTTTAGTTTGACTTTATTTTTAGATTGGTCAAATCTTATAACTAAATTGACAACTCTAAAAATAAGTAATCAATAAGATAATAAAAAAGAAGGAACTTAAATTAATTATAAAAAAACAAGTCTAGGCTACAAAGTTGGATTGAAATTCCTCATCTCTTAACTACAAGATCACTTGATAAGAAAGATAAAAGAGAAAAATAAATCTACATAAACTCATAAATTAATAAATTCAACATAGATTTCTCAAACATTAAAGTTCATGTTTGATAAGACATTTAAAAAGTTTATAGTTTTTTTTACTAATTTATAAGTTAATTTAGCAAAAGTAAACATAATTATTTGAGTTTATTTAGAAAATTTATGAATTATTTTCATAAGCTAATCGATGTATTTTATGGTTTATAGAGTTTTATCTTTCGTTTTTTTTTTTTAAATATTTGAGGGAAATTAATTTTAGAAAAAGAAAGAAGAATAAAGGAGTATTTAAAAAATCGTTTAGGAAAACAATTTTTTTTTTCAAGAAACCAACAAACTTAAGATAATTATTTTTAAAATAAATTATTCGAACGTTATGATAGTAGACTCATTTTAACTAATTAATACTTTTTTTTAATATGAATGTAGTTTACGTAATATCTCAAAATTAATAATTAAAAATTAGTTTATATTTATAAAATATAATTTTTACAAATAAAATATTATTTTAATACATAAAAAATTAAACTTAAGAGCATGTGACGACAAATATTACCACCGCTAATTAAAAAGCTTGGTTTTAATGCCTATAACAAACTCTTGTAATTAAAAGGGCGTGGGGGTTGATCATGCATTTTAAAGGAAATCTGAGAACGATTCAGTCGGTGGTCGTGGTCGAAGATGCAGACAAGATTTTATTTGGTCGTTTTAGTCCTCTTTATTTGGACCTTTGTCGTTGCGCTGCTACCCACCTCTTTCAAGCATTTAAATGGTACCTACCTCTTCCTATTCGCATTTCTCTATCAAAATATATAATAAGCTCGTAATAAATTATCAGCTAGAAAATTGTTGTCCTTTTTTTTACCTCAAAATGATATATTCTTCGCGTACACTTGTACATTGTTCTAAGACCCTGTCCCTGAGGCATGCTTTTCAGGTATTATCTACATGGGGCCAAGTTTGAACCTGCTTTATGAGAATTTACTACAGGTTAAATTAGATAATTAATGATCGACTAAATTTTTTTGTACAATTATGAGTGTCTGACTGTATTTAAATACAGCAATTTATATGATGGTGGGTCATTAAAGACAATGGAAGATTGGTTTAAACTTCAAAACTTATCAACATACTATTATTGCAATGCCTCCTTACTTAGTTTATAAATTGCCAGAATTTTATGAAAAAAAAAATCTCGTATAAATACTTGCAATTTAAAAATCACATGCATCTTTCGTTGCAGGAAGTTGAGGAATACTTGAGTGTGCATACAAAGAAATAAAAATAGAAATGCGACACCAAGTATTTAAATTAACCGGTATGAAATTGTTTTAATTTAATTAAAGTTTCAAGTTTGACTTTAGATATATAACTGTATCAAATATTTTAAAAAAAAGTTTTATTACCTATAATGATTCTACCGATTTATATAAAATTGTCTTATATAAAAGATATTTGTAATGAAATCTTAATTTGTAGCCAAAGAGAAATGGAAAATTTTTCTATTGTTAAACTAGTGTGGGTAAAAATTTAAATTTATCATTTACTCCAATAGGGGTGAATATAGGTCAAATTGACCAAGTTCATCTTTGCCCTTTTTTTTTTTTTTATCAAATCATTTTTTAAAATTTAAATTTAGTCCGCCTAATGTCCGAAATAATATATATTTTAATTGGATCATTTTTATCTAACTAATCCAACTTTGATATACTATGTTAATTTTAATATTATGTATAACTAAATTATAAATTAAAAGAAATATAAATTTTAAATTAAGTTACTTTTTATAATATTTTAAAACAAATAATTTCATTATAAATATAATGTTATAAAACATTAATAACTAAATAAATTTTATTATTAATACATAATAATTTAATAAAATTTATACTTTTTAAATGAATATTATATTATATATTAAATCGAATTGTACGATCCAAAACTTGACTTGAACCATCCTAAAAATACACTAAATTTAATTTTAAAATCCAAATCAACCTTAAGTTGAGCTGAATTAGTAGATGAGGTTCGATTATGCTCACCCCTACACTGCAACATTCATTTCCTTTCCCTTGGGTTCTAGGGCTGCTTCAAACATTGAATAAGTTGAAGATTAATTATGGAATGATGGTATAAATCTGAAAATGTTAGGCACACAAAGGAATTCCTGCAAAACTGCTATTTATTATTGATGATTGATTTAAAAAATACATATATAAACTTCTCAAGTAAAATCAAAACGTTCTACAATATGACAAATGTGTGGAACTCTGACCTAATAAAACCTATTTTGGCTGTAGAATATGTATTGGAGATGAAGAAACAAAATGATGCACACCCCTCCCCCCC